GACACCAGTGCCACGCACGTCTGCTTGATAGGACACAGGGGAGCTGCAGAAAGGACGTCCATCTTCCTCTACACCCTCGCCAACAATGGCAAGTGGGCTGAAAGATGCAGGGAAGGCCCCGGGTGCACCACAGCCACTTCCAGTTCTGAACAGCTCCTGCGGGGCCAACAGTGCAGTGCGCAGACTGCTTTTCTTCGCCGAAACGACCCAATTCCCAGCCCCAGGGAACACGCCCCTAAACAGATCACGGCCTCACTCTTGAGCAATGCTGTAATTGAGGGTTGCCTTTGTGATGAAGGATTCAGAAAATGAATCAGAGATATTACCCCAAATGCCACAGATACAAAGACACACCAGGACCTTCTAAAACTTTTTAAAAAAATGTCAAGAAATGTATCATTTTGCATTCATTACAGAAGGGCCCCGGTTTGATGCATGGAACCAAAGTTTGCAAAGTAAATGATATTTGTAATAGTAACTTCCTTGTTTTTCTTAGAATTCGTTTCTAAATGTTTTTGTTATTTTTATGTGTCGATGTTATACGGGCACAGAGTTTCAAAGTCAAACAGTTATCACTAAGTCTGTTGCAAAACAAGAGTCCCATTGTCTCCCTGTCCCTCTCCTTCCCTGTGTACTAATGCCATCGCCGACCCCCCTTCCTCTTGTCTTCCTGGGCTTTCGGGAGGAAATAATGTATGTATTGCGACACCATCATTACTTGAAGGCCGTTTTTTCATGATTTAGAAGAGATATGGAAGACAAATGAGACGGCTGACACTCTCCCTGGAGCAAACAAAACATTTAAAATCACTCTTCCAACCCCACTCAGACTTGGGCTTACTAACAAAATCCCAGTAGTGCATCGCTTCGCCATTGGAGGGGCTCACTGTGACTTCCCTTTCGAATGTCGGGAGCAGTCTTTGAAGCCCGCGTTTCTCTCCATCTTTGCTTTTTCTCCTCCTCCCACCTGTCCTGTCTACTCCCAAGACAGGCCAGCGCAGAGGGAGAGGAGGGCATTCTGACTCTGGGAATAAATACACTGAGTCTGAAAATGGTTTCACAGGTTGGGGGTGGGCACGGAGAAGAGCCACTTCCTTCGCTATTCTTTTGCCTTCCAGAGCCATAGCTCGAGTCCAACAGCAAAGCTGCAGAGTTGATTAAGAAGATAATGGCCCTTGAATATGAAATACAGGTGGCTCATTCGGCGCTGCTAAGGGAACAAAATGTGAAACAGTGAAATGCCTTATGCAAATAAGCTTTTGCTCCATCCACAAATTTCCTTGGCTATCATTTCATAAACATAAATATGCCTGAACTATGGTCATGTCTGAAGTTTGACCTAATCGTACCTTTAGAACTGTGTGCTGGCTGATTACTGACTTGAAATTTGAACCTATCAGAAAGAAAACAAAACATCAGACGGGAGGAGTACCACAGGGTGAACACCAAAACCCTGAGCAGGTTTCTTTCAACTAGGAGTGAATGAAACCATTATTTCAAATATTTACCTTAATTAAAATTAAGCCTGGGGTGAGAATTTAGACCCACAAATACATTGCTGTTCTGACAGTGGTGTTTGCATTAAACTGCGTGGGTGCCTTGAATTTAAAAAATAAAAACTTTTATACTCAAGGTAAATCATTCAGCTTGCATAATGAGCATACTACTACTGGTCACACACACAAAAGAAATGTTTCTCTCAATGTCAAGCCTTGCCCAAAAGATGAATTAAAACAGAATGATGAGAGCCCTGACTGGGTAGCTCAGTTGGAACATTGTCCCAATGCGCCAAAGTTGCAGGTTCAATCCCTGGTCAGGGCACGTATGAGAAGCAACCAATGAATGCCTATATAAGTGGAGCAATGAATCGATTTCTCTGTCCCTCTCTCTCCTTTCTTTCCCCCTTCCTCCAAGTCAATTTTAAAAAACAGGACAATGAAGAGCACAAAATCTCTATTCCCGCTGAATTCAAGGATTCTGAACTTTATCTTTAAACTAATAAAAACCAGTAACGCTCACTTACATGGCTTAATTTTAACTGTCATTGATTTGGTAGTTAACCACAAGCAAGCCACATTTTTTCCATCTGTATCTGTGAACACAGGCACTCTGCCTCAACTTTAAACTTTCTTGAGGCCACCTGGATATGACATCATCGATCCGTTACACAGGCCACTACTGGGCTGCGATCCAACCACACTCAGGACAAAAACTGCTGACCCAGTAGCCCTGGCACCTGTTGCTCCACCCCCCGGGTGCCTGGCCCTTCCTATTGTACTGCTACTGTTTTGATTTTTGTCCCCCAAGGGGACACAGGTGATAAGATTGATGAAGACATTTTTTAGTGCTCCGACTCCTTTTATCCCCACCGAAGCAACTGCTTTTAAATCTTGGTTTCTGGCCAAGTAACTTTTCTTAGGACTCCAACTACCACATCACAGAACAGACTACACCACATTTGTCACTTGAGATGAGTCGATAGCACTCTGTATGGTACAGAACGTTCCCTGCAAACCCCCTTAAGTTACTCAAATAGCATCATGTTGACTAAGTTACAGATAAATGGGATTGAGATTTATAGTTGTATAAGGGGAAATGGTCATAAGAAATAGAATAAGAGTGTAAATGTTAAGTAAGGGAGTATTACCTCGGGACAGAGAAAAACAGTACAAGCACACTGAGGTCAGAAAGAAGCCAAGGAAGGAAAGGTATGAAACAGCACTCCAGAAAGCATCAAGAGCTGGAGAAATGCAAGATAGTATCACATGCAAATGTTATATTCCCTACAGCTGGGTGTTCATGGAAGGCATGCAAAAAGTGTTAAGTATAAAAAGGCAGCACTGGGTACAAACAGTCACAAAAGGCAAAGATCACAGTACAATACAAAGGGTAACCGAGTTACACTGGCCAGGAGGTGAGTCCCCCGCTGTCCTAGATGTGGGTCAGGTACCACCGGAAGCAGGTCCTGGACTCCCACCCCTGCAGCCCCTTGGAGAGGTTAAGAGGTTTTAAGGCAATGTTTCAATATTGAATAAAGGGCTAAAAAGGGGAATATCTTAGTTAGGAGGCACTGAAATACCTTTTGATTAACGATCCCCAGAGCATGCTGTGACATGGACCATTTCTTCATCTTCTCTAGATCAAGTAATCTCACCAATGAGGAAACTTGTGGACTCTCTACTTTCTGGAGGTGATATAGAAAGCCAAGCCAATGAGAAAGGCCTGGAATAATAATATACTGAGGTATTATGATGAGATAATATAATGATATTATCATTTAGGCACAGTTTTAATATACTGAAATGATTGGCCACTGGGTCACTGGCAGGATTATTCTAGTGACAAGGGTGCTTTGGCTCATTAATCCTGTAGCAATGCAGGCACCATTTTCAGCCATTTTGAATCTATCAAATATATTATTAACATGTGCATGTTCCATTTGCATATTGTTATCTTACCAACTGCTATCAATTCTGGAAGGTCCACAGTTAGGAATCAAATTGATGCTACAGGAATACAAAGATGACTTTTAGTTTCCAAATGTGATTGAAATTTGGAGATTCTCAATTCTCTTTCACATCCTGTTGCCCACCATCCTTCCTGGCTGGCGGACAAGTCAAGAGGCCCCTGCTACTCCCACCAGTACTGGGAACACGTGGGCTATGCACTGAGCTGCGCACTCAGGGGCCACAGAGGTGAATATAAAGCCTAGGGACAGAGAACCGACACACACCGCCACCTAGCACTCCCGCATTGGCAGAGGACAGAGCCTACAAACAAGGGAGGACCCAAAAAACCCAGAATTTATTTACAAAAAAGTGTGTCTTTATTCTTACATGTTTAAACTTCAGTCACCTTCAAAGCACTCATTTGATGCAATACCCCTATCAAGACATGTTTTCCACCGCTCAAGAGTTTTTGAACTTGTCCATTTTGATGCCCTTTAGTGCTTCTACTGTTTTTTTGTTTGTTTCACCTCTTCCACGTCAGCAAAATGTTTCCCTTTGAGAACTTTCCTCATCAGGGAAAGAAAAGTCACTTTGGGTGCGATCAGGTGAATAGGGAGGGTGAGGCATGGGGGTTCATGCGGTTTTTGGTCGAAAACTGCTGAACACTCAGCATGGTGTGGGCAGGTGCGCTTGTAAACTACCCATCATGAAATGGGCAAACGTGCTACAAGAGTCTCCAAAAAAATTCACTGAGAAGTGCAGCCTTTGACAATGACACCAGCTGGTTGGTACATGGATACAGATGGGTTCCTAGAAAACTCACCTAGGAAGTCTGTATTATTTTCTATAAAACCAGAAAATAATTCTGGTTTTCTGAAGGTCCCCCCTTGTACTTACTATGTATCTCCCACTGGCACTGAAGACAGAGAAGCTGTGTATGAGCTGGGAGGCAACGAGACACAAAGATTCGCAGTCACTGTTTTCTTTTGCATGCCTTCTAATCAGGGTTAGACAGACTATTATTTACAGGTTTGTTTCCTTGTGCTGGCTATCGAAGCATTGTCTCTTGGCTCCGGAGCTGCTGTTGTCAACTCGACTCTCTTGTGGGGTACGGGCTCTGTGGATTGCCAGCTGATACTGCTCTAAGAGTTACCATTTCTCTCTTTCACACACACACGGTACACGCAGATGCATACCACAAACATGCTATACACATGAACAGACACACATGCATGCCACACATACCTTCACATACATATATGCTCGCTCTCTCTCTCACACTCACACTCACACACACACACACACGTATACCTAGAGACACCACACATCACCCCATACATACTGGCACTAGATACGCCTAAACTGTTACTCAGTACTATTGGGGGAAAAAAGCAGGACAACATTTTTTAACTTGGAATTTTAATTATGTACATAAATAGCAACATGAGAACGAGAAGTCCTAAGGCTTGCACATTATCTATAGGTGAAAAGATCCCAGATTAGTCCCTTTGTAGCATGGCATCACCCAAGATAACAAAGAGGCCCGGTATGTTTTTCCTGAAGAAGAGCCAGTTTATTACATTCAATACTGACTTTTATTCCATTTTTCTGTAGAAATACTGGTTTAGTGTATGGAGTTTCCAACGTTTACCTATAACTAAAAGAAAAAAATGAAGTAATCTGTGCCAGAAAAATGAAAACAACTCTAAAATTTTGCATTTTCAAGATGCTTTAGTTTTACACAGAGCAATCATAACAAATATTTACATTACCCTTATATGACCGTGAGGATCATACAGAGCAAGAGAAAAGTGTAATTGTTCTTCTTTTATAGACAGGTAAACCAAATACCAGAAAGGTTTCGTGTTTCATCGAGACTACATTCAGATTCTCCACTGGCTGGGTACTGAGCATAACTGCAAGGACGGATTTATAAATAAAAAAATAAAGGCCGAAATGGCACAGCAACACCACGTCTTTCCCTTCCTGAAAACTAAACAATTACATTTCCGCCCATCTGCTGGAGGAGAACATGATTATATCACTGTCAGTCTGACATCTACCCTTCCTCATGTCACCCCATCATTCTCTTCTGGAAGGAGATACCCAGTAATCCGAAGACATACCAGAGCTAAACCGGCTCCTCTCCATAATGCCGTTTCCTAATATGTAAAGAATCTACTTAGCCATTAAAGGTTTATAAATATTTTAGAGTCCAGTGACTACTCATTTGGCTCTTTAAGATAAAACCAAAAATTCTTAAACATGTAAACCACTAGCTTACCTTTTCTATCTCAGTTTATTTATTAATCTGTTTTGGAATTCTCTAACAGTTCAACAGATTTACTGCATTGCTAAAAACTACAAACCACAAACAGCCTGTACTAGTGAGGATTCAATAGATCATGGTGGTCCATGCTAGGCAATTATTATGCAGCTACAGGAGGAATGAGATAGATCTGTAAGTATCAACAGGGAAAGATGTACACAATATATTAAGTGAAGAAAGGCAAGTTCATTCATTCAATATAGTTAAACACAGCACACTGTCTATGTAGTATTATTACCAAAATAACTGAACCTAAATCTGATTAAGCCTTCAGATCCATCAGTTGATGGGAAAGGCAGAGAAGAGAGGACTCAAGAGATAAACAGAATAACACTAAATGGATGCACTCAGCCAGGGCCACAACGTGGGCAATTCTTAAGGACAAGTAAGCCCAGGTTTTCAACAAATAAATGGCAATGGGAAATGAGGGAGAAGGAACTATTACAGCTTAAAAGGCACTTATGAGACCTGTCAGTCAAACGCAATGGGCTGATCTTGTTTAGATTTTGATTCAAATAAACCAAATGCAGAAAGTCATTAGTGAGACAACCAGGGGAGTCTGCATACTGCCTGGACAGTAGGTGATATTAAGGAATTAGTGTTCACTTCTTTAGCTGGGATAATAAAATTGCAGTGTACGCCCTCGTGGAGCTTTCAGTGTTCTTGTAGAGCAATACAAGGAACATGACCTCATTCTGTCAAAAAACCAAAAGCACATATGGATGCATATTTACACATAGGAAAAAAAGTCTGGAATGATATAACAAAATATTAACAGAAATTTCTTCTGGAGAAAAAAAAACAGAAAAGAAAAATGCTTTAAAAATATTTATCTAGGCCCTGACCAGTGTGGCTCAGTTGGTTGGGTGTCATCCCTCAAAGCAAAAAGTCGCTGGTTTCTATTCCCAGTTGGGGCACATACCTGGGTTGCAGGCTGATCCCTGGTTGGGGGGGTGGGCGTGTGAGAGGCAACCAACTGATGCTCCTCTCACACATCGGTGTTTTCCTCCCTCTCTTTCTCTCCCCCTTCCCCTGTCTCTCTCAAAATAAATAAACAGAATCTTTTAAAAATATTTATCTAAAAAATTTTCTTTCCGATAAATATGCATCACTTGTATATGCAAAACCACAATGCCAATAAAGCTCTAAACATAAGGAATGAAATCAAGGTCATGTATACTGTAAGTTGAACTCTGATCCACAATACTTTTAGAAAATGAAATAGATATTTACATAGTTTCCCTTTACTCCATGTCTCATTGTCCCCATAGAGAAACAGAACCATAGTCAAAGTCAAGTCTCTGGAGGACAGGTGTGTCTTCCTTGCTGTGCAACCTCTAGTCTCTCTTCTAACAGCACGTGGGATACATATCTGGCCCCACTCACCAGAAATGCCGATTCTGGGATGGGCCCTAGGCCTCTGCCTTTTCATCAGCTTCCCAAGTAATCTGTGTGTATAATGAGATTTGAGAACTGCTGATTTAGGCTTACTGTACGAAGAGCTGTGATGTGAAAGAGGATCTGGATTTGTTTTCTGTGACCCCTAACGCAGGGTCAGGACCATTGTGTAGAAGAGTTATAAAGAGATACATTTTCGCTTAGTATAAATAACAGCTTCCTAAAAATCAGAACGATCCCAAGACGGCTGCCCTATGAGGTGTGCTTTCTACCAGAGGAGGTGAAAAGTGGGAACACACGCTTGAGGCTGGGAGTTGGGCCAGACGACCCCTCTCAAATTCAAAGATTATATGATTCTCTGGGGCTCCAACAATATGAAGACAGCTTGAGAGAGAAATATCTCAAACCTGAGGCTGTCATGAATCTTAAATAGCTCCCATAATTTACAATAAATGTAACGCTGATATAAATTTTATTATAAAATTCATATTCATTGTAAAATTTAAAAATACAGAGTTATATAAAAGAAAAATACAAAAATCATCTATAATTCTACTGTGACAAGATGTATACTGCAGTCCCCCTTATTCGCATGGGATACGTCCCTAGATCCCTCAGTGGATGCCTGAGATTGTGGATATAGTACCAAACCCTACATATACTATGTTTTTTCCTAGACAGGCATATGTATAATAAAGTTTAATTTGTAAGTTGGGGACGGTGAGAGATTAATGACAACAATAAAATAGAACAATATACTGTAACAAAAGTTGTGTGACTGTGGTCTCTCGAAAAGGTACAGTGTGAAACATAGGACAAAGGTATGATTCATGTCCTGGGTGGGACAGAGCAGGACGGCATAAGATTTCATCACACTACTTAGAATGTGTCATTTAAAACTTGTAAATGGTTCACTTCTGGAATTTTCCATGTAATACTGTTGGACCACGGTTGACTACAAGTAAATGAAACCATGGAAATGGAAGCTATGGATAAGGGGGAACCACTTGAATATTCTGTTTTATTTCTTGGTCCTTAGCCTCTCTAAAATAGGGATAGTACAATGTATTGTACTATCTTTTATTTCCTCCATTTAACAATAACTGTGTACATGTTCCCATGGAATTAAATATTATTAAAACATAGTGACATTCCTCTTTATGAATGGACCATGATAAGTCCTTTTCCTACAGTTGAATATTTAGACTGTTTCCAAATTAAATATAGTCTAATTACCAGGAAATCACAAGTGCTACCCTATACTTTTTAATATGTCACAAAATAATATTAATATTATTAACTAGTGTTTTGTACTTAGCAGGCACTCAATGCATAAATTTAAACAAATGAATGAAAATAAATGGTGAACTGAGTATAAGATGAGAAGGAATCAAACCGACGGTCTGATTTCATCTCTTATCATCCTAAATTTCTCCAGCCTGGGGTTACTCAATCTTTAAAGAAAGAAGAACTATACCTACAAATTCCCTACGTCAATTACAACAGTATCTCCATATGATCTTGAACTTTTCTACCACAGCCATACATTGAATAAACATTTAATGAATGACTATTAGATGAGTACAAGTATACTTACTACAGTGATGTTTGAAAAAAAATAAACCTAAGAAATAATGGCATTTTTCAATTGTTTGAAATTATAAATCACAATGGTCAAGTTCTAGCTTGTCTAAAAAACCCGGGTACATCTCAGGAACAAACACAATTATATAAGTGTGTTATATAAGGCACTTAAACCCATAAATTAAAGATGGAATGAAATATCATCCTAACTCTGTTTCCACATAAAGTTGAAACTGTTATAATTATTTTACAGAATTAAATTTAATTAATAAAAGATAGCTCTTCTGAGCTAGTGCTAACAATGCTAAAAATAACCACAGGTTTTTATTCTTTACCTGATTAAAATGGGCAGAACATGGAGTATTCTACTTATTTCCAGGTGAATTCTTCACATTTCCGGGCTTATAAAACAAAAAAGGAAGAATATTAGTACAGCTTGAAAAGAAAGAGTGAAACTTGTAAAGAAATGGTGGAACATCTCAAAGTGCCAGTCTTCAGCATTTGGCTGATACAAAGACTAAATACTATTATAATGCAAAGTAACCCATTTCTCAGTAAATTTAAGGAATTATCAATACTAAGGCGTTAGAGAGTGACTTAGGTACAGAAGACGGCAGGAAATAACGCTCCATCAACTCTCATTATAGAGAGTCAGGCAAACAGCTGATTCTATTAAAAACATCAAATCAGTAGTGAAAAGACGTCTTTACCAGTTCATGCCATAGTCATTGTTAAAGAAGGTTTTACACCTATGGGGTGCGTCCTGTAGGAACTCTGCTGTGGATCTACCGTCCACCATAGGGGCCAAATCACAAAATATGTTTACTCTGAAAGAGGTTATAATCGGACCACACCCGTTCGGCCTGGCCACCATCTGGGAACATATAATTAGGTCATGTCATCCATGAGAAGTGATGTAGCAAAGTTTCTAGTGGGGGAAGTTTATGTGTTAAATGTGTAAGGCCTTACTTTCTTTCCTATATTTCTTTATGACTTTAATTCTTAGAACACATTGGTAAGACCTGAGGTCATCAAGGATCTGAGCTCTCATGAGACGGCAACCTGAAGAACACCAGGCTGCCGTTCAGTGGGCAATGGGGCTGCGATTCTGTGGTCTGGACTGGTGCGGGTTCTCCTGCTGGACTTCTCTCAGAGTTACCCATGCGTGAAGGAGAGGGTCGGGGGAGGAAGAGAGCAGAAACATGTGACTAATCCTGTCATTTCAGAGCATGGTTTCTAGGCAACGTCAGGCTTACTGGAATGTTTGCGAACTGGTCCCTAAGCATGGGGATTATACATCTTGGCCTGTCCAAGTTATGCTGGTTTATACCCACTGTCCCTGCATAATTCATAGTACCCACTTTTACTCTCTTAGAGCAGGGGTGTCAGACTCATGTTCACCAGGGGCCACATCAGCCTCATGGTTGCCTTCAAAGGGCTGAAATAATTTTAGGACTGTATAAATGTAACGACTCCCTAACTGTTAAGGAGTTGAAATGACACCCAGCCCTTTGAAGGCAACCGCGAAGCTAATGTGGCCCCCCCCAGTAAAAATGAGTGTGACACCTCTGCTCTAGAGTATCCTAGTTTGGATGATAAATTATATAGTCTCCCTATCCAGAAACCATATCCACTTGACAACTGAGTTCTGGGCAACAAGGCCGTAAGTACTGCTTGATGGATCATGTTTACTTGTTGCTATGAAAAGAGTTCTCCAGGACTGATTGCCTGTGTGCCTTACTCTATTCCTCCAGAGCCACTTTCTCTCTCTCTCTCTCTCTCTCTCTCTCTCTCTCACACACACACACACACACACACACACAATCGCAGGGACCTTCCTGCTATTGCTCTTCCAATTTGCTAAGCTCTTTCCTGGGAGACCTTTGCAAAATGCATCCTTGACCTAGACTGACCAATCCCAATTTTTGCCTGGCTAAATGCTACTCATCCTTTAGATCAAGCCTTTCCCCTGTCTGCTACCCTTTGGTTTAGATAAGAACCTTTAATTCACATTCATAGCACCCATGAGCTTCCTGATTTGTGTAACTCTTTCGCTCATGTTTGAATCCTTCACTAACAAATAAGCTGCATCAGGGCACAATATCCTTACGACCTCCTAACACATAGTATTCAAATGCTTGTATAAAATAAGTTTGGGTAGACCCTGGCCAGATAGCTTGATTGGTTGTAGCATCATCCTGATACATCAAGGTTGCGGGTTCAAACCCCAATCGGAGCACATACAGGAATCAACCAATAAATGCATAGGTGAGTGGAACAACAAGTCAATGTCTGTCTGTCTCACTCTCTAAAATCAATCAATATTTTTCTTACATTTGGATATGCAATTAACGAAGAACAAGAAGAGAATTATGGAGATAAGTGAGATAACCAAGTCCAACAATTGGGTCTGTCATAAAAACTATCTGGTTTTTGCCCTGGCCAGTGTGGCTTGGTTGGCTGGAGCATCGTCTGTGCACTGAAAGGTCATGGGTTCAATTACCCATCATAGCACAAACAAGTTGAAGGTTTGGTCCCCAGATGGGGCAAGTACAGGAGGCAACTGATCAATGTTTCTCTCTCACACTGATGTTTTGTCTCTGGTTCTCTCCCTTCCAGTCTCTCTAAAATCAGTTTACAAATCCATTCTCAGGAGAGGATTAAAAAAAAAAGTATGTGGTTCTCTATCTAGTTAAATATACTTTAGATCTGAACTACTTTCACATAATGTTTGCCAAGTACTTTTAGTGATATTCTTATATAGTCTACTATCTATACCTGCCCAATTACAATCTCAAAAATATAAGCTGTGAAATTCATAGGCTTTTAAAAATCTTTTGGACATTAAGAAAATGAGCACATAAAAACATTCTTTTGGTTGAGGAAAACAACTCTGTTGCTAGGAAAATTTTTTGTTTGGTTACATATCACTTATAGTATAATAAAACAAGACAGTCAAATATCTCACTAAAGAAATATTGAGCCCATCCACCCTATTACAAATCAGATCTCTCTTGGCAGAAACCTTAATGATCTCAGGAAAAAAAACACAACATTCTGACTTCAAAAGACAGTTTGTGATTTAGAACAAGCCAGAAATTAACTTTCTGCATTTTCGGACAAAAAATTTTTATTGAAAATATTTTATAATTCAGTCATTCTCCTTATGACCTAATTTTAATATATGCTGGGTTTTATTGGGTTTTTTTTTTAGCAATCAATACATTATTTAACCCAATATACCTAAAATATTCTTTCAGCCCTGAGTGGCATGGTTCAGTAAGCTGGGTGTCAAAGGTCACCAGTTCGATTCCTGGTTGAGTCACGTGTCTGAGTTGCAGGCCGGGCCCCCAGCTGGGGGCACGTGAGAGGCAGCAGATTGATATTTCTGTCACACATCAATGTTCCTCTCCCACTCTTTCTCCCTGCCTTCCCCTCTCTCTAAAAAGAAATACTTTTAAAAATAAAATATTATTTGAACATATGATATAAAATAATGAGATAGTTTACACTCTAGCTGAGATAGAAAACTCGCCACATTGCCCTTATTTTAATTTTTATTTTATTGTGGGGAGAACAATAAATATTTTTATTTTTATTTTATTGTGGGTAGAGCTCACTTAACATGAGCTCTACCCTCCCGACAAACTTTTAAGTGGACAATACAGTATTGCTAACTACAGACACAATGTTGTACAGCAGATCTCTAGAGCGGATTTATCCTGCATAACGGATACTTTATACCAGTTAAACAACCTCCCTCCCCATTTCTCTCTGCTCCAGGCCCTGCCAACCACCATTCTGCTCTCTGCTTCTATGAGCTTGACTATTTTAATACTTCATGTCAGTGGAATTATATGCAGTATTTCTCTTGTGACTGGCTTATTTCGAAGATGGTCATTTTAAATCACTTCAATCACATAACACAGCTAAAGTGGAGTGTGCTTAGAAAGTCACGGAACTTTTAAATGGAGGAAGAGAAAGCAGGCTGTATTTGCTCAGAGTGCTCACTGCTGCTTCCCCTTCATATTCCTGCTGAGCCAGCAAGGCCCTGAATGCAACTATCAGCTCAGCTTCAGAAGTTCCGCTCAGTTTTCATGTTAGTAATGGGTTTATATATTTCTTTATGTATTTTCCTGTCCTTTGAAGAATTAAGATTTTTCTTTTTAGTTATTGTTGGACTCTAATTGTCATTCTACAATTCTCTGATAGTAACGTGTTCCATATTTTAAAAACCTCTTGAAAACTAAACATGGCATTTCCTGGGACGTACTGCTGTATTTGGCTATTTATAGGACAAGTCCAATCTGTGACCCTGGTGCCTAACACCCACAACTAGCCTGCATCTCTGATACTCTGACGCTGGACTGAAACTGTTCTGAAAAAAATTAGCAATGGACGATCAATACATAGTCCCATGCTTTCATTAAGCTCCTACAATTAAGAAGTGAACACCATAATAGAAAAAAAAATCAATAAAACAACTACATTAAGAACTTCTGATCATCAAAACACACCAAACCTGAAAAGACAGGCCTCAAATTGGGAAAAGATATTTGTAAACATGTGACCAAAAAAATGAGTATCTAGGGAAAAAAAATAAAGAACTTTTATAAATCATTGAGATGAAAAAATGACCCATATAGAAACCTGGCCAAAGGAAATGAACAGGCACTTCAAGAAGAAGAAATCAATAAACATGTCAAAAGATGCTTGACCTCATTAGTAATCAAGGAAAGGTACATTAAAACAAAAATGAGCCCTGGCTGGTGTGCCTCAGTGGGTTGAGTGCCAACCTGCAAACTGAAAGTGCAAACTGAAAGGTCGCAGGTTTGATTCCCCGTCAGAGCACATGCCTGGGTTGTGGGCCAGGTGGTGCGACAGCCAACCAATGGATGTGTCTCTCACACATTCATGTTTCTCTCCCTCTCCCTCTCTCCCCCCTCCTAAAAAATAAAATACTTAGTAGAAAAGAAAATGGTCTAAATAAGATATTAAAAAGATCAAGCATTCATCCTGTCTTTCCCATAACTGGGTAAGTGTAGATGAGGGAAAGTGGTTCCTTATTCAAGTACTCCAGCTAATATGTGAAAATAAAATGACAGAAGTAAAAAGACACCATTTTCCAAGCCCAGTGAACCAATGGGTCTAGGCATTGAGCAAGCATCAACAGCCCTAACACCAAAATATCAAAGTAAAAACCAGACTTATGTGTCTACATAGCCTTGTCAATGGGATCAAATGTGACCCTGATTAAGCAGCCTCTGGATCCAGCCGCCAATCTGCAGAAAACACAGAGAAGAGCGGAACCTGTTCAACGACACTACGAGTGTGCAATTAGCAAGACTCAAACTGTTGGAGACTTTGCAGGTCCAACATGCTAGGTTCTTTTAACAGATACATTGTAAAGATAAAAGGAGAGAAGGGGAACCTATAGATTATTATTTTTTTAATTTTTAAAGATTTTTATTTATTTATTTATCTTTAGAGGGGAAGGGAAGGAGAGAGGGAGAGAAACATCAATGTATGGTTGCCTTTCGTGCATCCCCCGCTGGGAACTGGCCCGCAGGGAACCGGTTTGCAACCCAGGAATATGCCCTGACTGGGAATCGAACCTCGATCCTCTGGTTCGCAGGCCTGTGCTCAATCCACTGAGCTACACCAGCCAGGTATTTTTTTTTTTTGGAACCTATAGATTAAAAGTGACTTAAAAGGCAACAACAACAAAAAAAGATTTTAAAAGGCATATGAAGTCAGAATAACAACAGGCAAGACTAAAGTGACAAGAATAAATACTTAGGTGAAAAAGCCATAAAGAAGAGAATAAAGTTGTTAGTATAAAAGTCAGGATGGTAGGTATCTTTAGATGGAGGAAGACTGTGATTAGGGTGGGCTACGTGCAGAGGGTCCTGGGTGGCTAGACAAGTTCTTTTTGTGTGTGTGTCCTAGATGATGGTTACAAGGGTATCTGCCTTATAATAATTCCCTCAGCTATAAAAAAAAATAAGTTGAAGGAAAGCACATTCTTGGGGCAACTGGAGAAATGTGAATATGAACTATATATTAGGTAATGTCCATTTAAACAATGAAATGTTAATTTTCCTCAGTACAATAACAATACTGTGATTATATGAGACAAGTTCTTTAGAAATGCATGCTGAAAGTGCAATGATATCTACAATTAACTCTTAAATGGTTCAGAAAAATAAAATACAAGTGTGTGTGAGCACCCACGCATGTGTAAAAAGATAAAGCAAATGTAGCAAAGTATTAATTGGTGAATCTAAGTGAAGGTATATTCATTGTACTCTTGGGGTGACTTTCTGTAGTTTTGAGGGGTTTTTTTCAAAATAAAAATTGGGGGAATAAAGTAAAACCACACACACGTACATGCATGCATGCATAAATGATTTTAAAGCCAGCAGACTGGCAAAAATGGGAACAACCACTTTGGAAGCTTACTTGGCACCATCTAGTAAAACTGATGTGCAGGCCCCATGTATCGGGAATCCGAGCCTTAGCAAACTCTTAATAAATCATGACACATACACAAAAATGCTCCCAGGTCTGTCTGCAACAACAATATAATGAAAACTGCCCAACTAGCCAATGACATGGGCATTTTCCCACAAAGATATACAAATATTCTACGGCAGTGAAAATGAATAAACTACAGCCATACATAACCAACAAACGTAATGTTAAGGGAACAAAAGTTACACAGTAATATGCATAGAAAGACTTCCTCTAGGTAAGCTCTATGTATTTATTTGTTTTTTAAGTCATGTATCTTTTTTGAACGATTTTATTTATTTAAGAGAAAGGGGAAGGGAGGGAGAAAGAGAGGGAGAAAAACATCAGTGTGTGGTTGCCCCTCATGCACCCCCAACTGGGGACCTGGCCTGCAACCCAGGCATGTGCCCTGACTGGGAATCGAACCTGTGACCCTTTGCTTCGTAGGTCAGCACTCAATCCACTGAGCCACAACAGTCAGGCATATTTGTTTTGATATATGTTTACATTATAAAAGCAAGCTCAACTATGGTGTTTTCTATTCTATTCTAATATTCTATTATATTCTATAACACTGTAGGTGAGCTTGCCTTTTATACTTGTTTTTCATATATATATATATATATATAAAATAAAAGGCAAGCTCACCTGCAGTGTTTTAGAATATACATGTATGTGGTTAAACTAAGAAAGTTTAAAGAAAAACAAGGGAATCAAAAACAAGAATCTGGGGACATGGAGGGGCCTATGGAGAACTTAAAATGCATGGTAATTTCCTATTTTTAAAGGTAGATGGGTGATTGCTATATGTGTGGTCATTATATTGATTTTATACTGTATGTATACAGTTGATCCTTGAATAACACAGGTTGGAACTGCGTAGGTCCACTTACGTGTAATTTTTTTCAATAAATTCCTGTACTATTTGGATCCAAGGATGGGTGTCTGTGGATGTGCGGGATGATTGTAAGCCTTGATCTACACCATTTTCAATAGAAGACTTGAACATCCGCAGATTTTTGTGTCCTTGGGAGGGGGGTCCTGGAACCAATCTCCCACAAATACCAAAGGATAACTAAAGTTTGCGGTAAGTCAGAAGTTATACATGATTTGACTGTGTGGGGGGTCGGCACCCCTAATCCGTGTTGTGCAAGGGTCAACTGTACATTATATGTTCTTTTATCTCACAGAAAAACAAACCCTAGACCCTACGATGACAATATTTCTGGATACACTCATCTTTGCTTCGCAGTTCTGAGAGAGTTCACTTTAGCTGAAGCACATAAATTCCTCTTAACTAACCAATGATTAAACTGAAAGACAACCTCATCCAAACTTTATTGGTACAGGACTCAGTGCAAACACTTAGCACTTCTGAACGGGAAACAGGATGTGGCAGAGTAGAAAAATGCCCCAAACTTATTTAAGGATATAGCTCACGGGAAACAATAAAACTGAGAACTGAGCCATCATTCATACCACTTAAAATTCCTGGGCCTTCTTTTAAACAGAGTGTCTACAAATTTCTTTGACTGCTTACAAAGTTAAATCATGTATATCTGTTACACCATTATAGTATAAATAATTATGAATTAAACTGCATCTAATAGAGACTGATCACTGAAGCCTGACTAGAAAACAATTCTTCAGACAAGTTAAGAAACAAACAAAAATCACCTTCATGAAGTGTCTCTCGATTTCCTTCAAAGAGATAGTTCCTGAGCCCTAAAAGATTCCTGTTTCAGGACAGTTTAAACCTTTGTTCTCATGAATAAAAGAAACAAAGAAACCCATAAACAAAAAAAAAAAATCACTGAAACTCACAAACCAAAAGAGGAGGGCAGGGCAGGGGAATAAAAAAAAAACAATGGCATTTCACCACAAAGTAATTTCTGAAATCTTAAGAATATCAAATCTTGAATTAATAGAGCCTTCTGCTATCTTTCATTTAAAACTTGTGCTAACTGTTTAGGTAGTCAACATTGATTTTATTACCTTCTATTGAGAACAGACAAGAAAAGTATGCTTTGAGAGTAAACAAATGAAAGAACACTGAGTTCTTCAGGACTCTGACAAGGGTAGGGGCTTGGAAGAGGAGAGAAAAATGCAGAGCAACCATGAGCTAATTAGACATCTTTACTACCTTATTCCCCAAACGCATGCAAATAAATGTGAGTGGCTTTAAAATCTAATGTTTTCGAATCATCATAAAATGCTATTTAACTTGCATTCCAACCAGAGTCCCATTGCTTGTGCACAGGGCTGAATCAGCGCAGAGCAAACTATTTCCGAGCGAGAGGCTGGGGGGGGTCACTCGGCAGGACCTCTGCTTGGCTTTGGTGCGCATGTGCCTTGCCTGACAACACAGGCAACACAGGACTATGGCTGAGTTTCACTTTCCACGCCTCCTTCGAGGGCTGTGTAAAGCTTCCCTGACACTAGTGTTTTCTTTTCCACATAAAACTCAGTGTGGACTTAAGGAATTTTTTAAACAGGAAAGGAAGCCTCCAAAGAAAATATGGGAAATGGAAGTAAAACAATGCGTGTTTATTCATTAAAATGGATTGCCAAAAGGCACTTGATATTAATACAGAACTTCCTCCTCAAGAGTTAGTTTAAATAGGCTCAATAGTGACTAATGCCTTTAGAAACTATCAGTACAAAAACCAGCTCAGATATCAATAGGAGATTACTTACGTATACAATGAGGAGGGCTTATAATTTATTCTCCAATATTACTTCCAAATTCCAGCTCCAAATTCTAGATTTTAATTTTGAGAGAGCTGTTTATATTTTTAAAAGAGTATTCTGTTTTGAGATGGCAGGAGTCTAAATCAACTTCTTTAAGTTTACAATGTAGAAGGTACGTTAATATAAGGATTCTAATTCTTCCTTAGGGAGTTGTGCCTCTTGAGTGCTCAGAGGATGCCTTGTTCTGTACTCATTCTTCCTTATCAGGGAAAGAAAGAAAATTCCAGCAAATACAAACAATATCCAATCAACTAGTCGGCTGTGAGAAGGAAGAGATAAAAGAGGACACCCCCTTACAGTCGGTCACACAACCTCCTCCCCCCGCCTCTCGGCCCCTCAGTCAGCACAGAGAATCTGGCCTGTGGCTGAGACACAGTATTGCTAAAGGAAAGAACAGGCACTTATGATAAATGAAATAGCAAGAACAGTCTTAGTTATCTGTCTTTTGCCTAGAAGCATAGTTATGTTCCCTTTGCCTCCAGTTTTGATAAAAACTTTCACATAATATGCCATACTTTGAGTAAATTGTAACTACAATACAGTGGCTATTATGATTTAAGACTGCTGTGGCATGCATCTGACGGTTACTATTTACTCAGCCCTGCTGACATTAAGCAAAAGTAGGGCGACCTTTTGTTCCCCCACTAAGGGTCACCAGAGAATCTGAGTGAGAGGTGTAACAAATAAACAGGACAGGCAAGACTGAGCAACAGGTTATCAAAAATTTTACAAAATCCTAGGGAAACCATGTATGTAAGCCAAAAGGAAGGTAATGAAAAAGAATCCTCACCTTTTGAAAGTTCTTCCACAAATCTTCTATGACTATGTATCCTCGTAAACCCCAGTCATATAATTTCTCCCCACTGACCTTGAAATAAAACATAAAAGATCCATTGCTAGTCCGTACATGCATGACTGGTAAGGAAGAGAATTTTCCTTTTTCTCATATAACTCTATACGAGCATACGATGACTATAGAAGTCTCGGGACATATACATTAAAACTGTGCGACATAAGTAAATAAAAAGAATAAGGATAGAATAAGAAGAAAAATAGTTTGATTATGTACAGTTATCATTTAAAATAATCTATCAATCATGTATATATTCCAAAGTTTCACAGTTTCAAGGAAGAAATGTAGGAGATCACTGCTGAGATGGGAAATTCTGGAAACTCTATGGACCACGCCTAGCACATAACAGCCAACCAAGTCACATTTTTGCCAAGCGGAAAATCATTCATTGTAGGAACTTAGGCAAAAAACTGGAGAACCCAATGAAGATGCTCTCAGCTTTCCCAGGTCCCCCCAAAACATAAAGTCTTCGAGTTTCCACAGGGATTTTGTCTCCTAATCCAAAATCTTTTCTACAACGTCCTGAGGTCCCAGAGTCAGAGAATATTCTGGGGTGGGAGGTTTACTACCTGAAAAAGTACTTGTCTACCTTCAGCTAGCTAGCTTTAAGGGTTGGAAACTTTTTTTGGTAAGTATTAAGCTTTCTTTTAAAAAAATGCTTCCAGTAATTTGCATTCATTAGTCCTAGTTATAACCAAGGATGTTGATTACTCTTCCACCTGACAGTATTTCAAATTTCTGAAAAGTTATTATTCCTCTTCCTAATTTTTATAACATTTTCTCCATACATAGCATTTTAGTTTACAAAGCACATTCATATGAATCATCTCTATTATATAACAACCCTGTGCAATAAGTAGGCAAATATGATAAGGAAATAATCAGAGACCAAGTGACTTGTCTAAGGTCATGGGGCTAGTAAATCCGCTGGTCATTGCAACATGCTGGGTTCTTACAAGTTATATTCTTCCAGTTGCTCCAAATGTTCTTAGAACATGGTATTCTTAGAACATGATTCTTGGACCTACTGGGAGACATTTTGAGCATTTACTTCATATATGGCACTGTTTTTCACTGTTAGAAATTTTGGAAAGGAAAATAACATTGACTGTCATTTTAACAGTTTTCTTACAATGCTTTTATCCAAACACCACTGAACAGAAAATAGAATGTATGCAATTAAGAGGTTTGTCCAAAGTCACAGTAGTCATTAAAAAAAAACACACAAAAAATTAAACTGTGAAATAGGAACCAAATGACATCAAAAAATCTTTTTCAATCACTGATGTCTGTTTTGTTTTATTTTGGAAAAATATATTTAACATAAAATATACCATTGTAACCATTTTTAGGTGTATAACTCAGTGACATTAAAAAAAAAACTCATTCAGCCTGACTGGTGTAGCTCAGTGGATTGAACACGGGCCTGCAAACCAAACGGTTATTGGTTCAGTCCCCAGTCAGGGCACATGCCTGGGTTGCAGGCCAGGTCCCCAGTACGGGGTGTGCGAGAGGCAACCACACACTGATGTTTCTCTCCCTCTCTTTCTCCTTCCCTTCTCCTCTGTCTGGAAATAAATAAAATCTTAAAAAAAATTCATTCATAATGTTATGCAACCATCACCACTAACCATTTCTGAAAGTTTTTCATTATCCCAAACAGATCACTAATGTTTGATACCCAATGAAAATAAAGTTAATTATTTTGCTCTGGCTTGCCCATGGAATAAAATAAAAGACCAAACTCCTTCCCATTGACTTTAAAAACACATTACAATACAACTCAGATTTGCATCCTATTACCTTGGTTGTGGACCCAGAAGTTCTCTTCCAACATATGTATATAAAATTTAGAAAAGACTTCTACTCAGGGGGCAGCCACCTATGCCTCTCGACCAGCAGCCATGCCCACCCTATCCACTTACTACTTAAACCATAATGGTTTAACACAACATTAGATGATTTTTATGACCTAGATGATCCCCTATTCCTGAGCTGGTGCTGCAACAGGAGGAGGAACATTAACTATTTGCTTCCAGGACCACTGTAAACAATGTCAAGCCCACGCTAAAGAGATCTCACTGGTGACTGTCACCAAAGCCATCCATTTCCCACAGCTGGAGCCAATAGGCTCCCACCTACAACTGTAGCACGATCCAGGAATCTAGACTCAATCTTGTCACGAGGTCTCCAGGGAGCTCACTGTCCCGGCAGTCTGGCTTAGAGTCCTCAGAGCCCAATTCTGGTGACGGCAGTGCTGCTCCTCCTAGGACCGGGTCTCCGTGTGCTATGGCAGTTCTGGCAACTGGTCCCTGCTCCCGTAAGCTGTCCAGGAACTCAAAACCTATAGTCTGCTTTGTTCTTGCCAGCTTTCCCAGGAACTCTGTGTCTAGAGTCCCACCAAGTCCAGACAGCACTGCCCTGAAGGAATCCAGTCTACATCAGGGGGCCTCAAATGTCAGAGGCATTGAAATCCCCTGGAGCGCTCGCTGAAACGGGAGGGAACCCTAACTCTCAGTGTCTGAGTCAGTAGGTCTGGGCTGGGGCCTGAGAATGTGCACTCCTTTTTGTAAGTCAAAAAAGCTTTTCTTTGCTATTTATTGTATCCAAAAGAATGTGTTTCCCTATCACAAAAATATGATAACCCCACCACCAACAGTAGCAAAGTCTGTACATTTACACTGATGAGGGGGTGTTCACTGGGTATTCCCATGTCCCAAAGGTCGTAAAGGAGGAAAAGAGTAAAAGAAAAAAAAAATCCTCAAAACAAATCCAAAACCCATGATGACTTTTGGAACAGACATGACATGGCAGTTTCTATTTTCTTTCATTCTTCACTGCAGGTGTATTTCAGCAGGATCAAGTACAATTTAACTTAAGTAAACCCTTCATATCAACTCCAGCACCTTAAACTTGACCCTAACTGTTAGCAGCAATCAGCACAGTGGACTCCTATTTTCAAAAACCATAAGACACCTCAGAAAACAGTTAGGGTAGATGCAGAAATAAGCTCACTTGGCTGCCTTTTCATAACCCAGAACCCTTAATCAGCAGACATGGTAAACAAAGCAGCAGGGAAAGTAGTACCTGCAGTGCTGGTTTTAAAGCCTGTGAGGAGGGAGAGGATCAAACTCAGCTGTCCTAAGCCGGACAGAAGCCACCATGCTTATGTAGGATCACTGCAATTTGGAGACAAATACATTTTTCATCTGTCCACATGGTTAGTTCCTGCAGGTTCCATGAGAATTTGCGTTTCTAACAAGATCCCAAAAGATTCTCATATTGGTGGTCTAGGGACCATACTTTGAGACCCGCTGCTCCAGCTATTATGGCCTGAATTATGTCCCCTGCCAAATTCACATGGTAAAGCCTTAACCCACAATGTGACTCTATTTAGAGATAGGGCCTTTTAAAATGGAATGAGGTTACAAAGGGAGGGTCTCTAATCCAATATGACTGGTGTCACTGTACAATGAGGACGAGACACCAGGGATGTGTGCACACAATGAAAAGGCATGTGAGACACAGTGGGAAGGCGGCCATCTGCAAGCCAAGGAGAGAGGCCCCAAGAGAAACCAACTTCGCTGACGCCTTGATCTTAGACTTCCACTCTCCAGAACTGGGAGAAAATAAATGTCTGTTATTTAAGCCCCACAGTCTATAGTGTTTTGTTATGACAGCTCGAGCTGGCTAAGAAATCAGCTTTAGCCATGTCGCCTGCCACTGTGTGTTCTACTCACTAGGATGCCATCAAGCTGAGGCCTGAAGGGCAGGAAAGGAGTAGCCAACTGAGAGCCCCAAGCAGGGTGATCCCAGCAGAGGGGACTGCGCTCCCTGAAGGGCCCAGCAAGGAAGGCCAGGCCAGCTCCAGGGACACAGACAAGGCATGGAGGGTCAAGTACAGGCCTGTGCCTACAACCCAAGGAAGGCAGGTTGTGATCAGGTACTCCTGGACTGAGAATGACCCATAACTATCAACTTTGGAATTTGAATCTCTATGCTTCCATGTCAACACGCACAAAAAAAAAAAGGTATCTTAAGTTTTCTTTTATTAATACTCAAATTAGTGTGCATTCTCTGACCACTGACATGATTGGAAGGAGGGCCAGAACTTAGGTACATAGTGAAGAAAAACATTTAAATTTGCTGTGCTCATATATATTTGCAAACAAATTTTAGTCTAATATTATAAAAGCTGTAAAATAAAATAAAACTAAATTAAATTAAAATAAAGCAGTAAACTCATACACACATAAGCAAGAATAAGGGACATCTTAACTTACTTGGTCTCCCTTACCTGGAAAAATACGATGGCTTGTTGTGGATAATAAAGAGAGGCAGCTACTCCCATGAAAACAGGTGGATACACCAGCTTCTTTATTTTAGAACCTATTAAATAAAAAGTTGTGGACACTGTCAGATGATTCTGTCTTAACCATCTCAATTTGCCTGTATATCCAACACTAAATAACACTTCTTTGGGCCCTGGCTGGTGTAGCTCAGTGGATCAAGCATGGGCTTGTAAACCAAGTGGTTGCTGGTTCGATTCCCAGTCAGGGCACATGCCTGGGTTGCAGGCCAGGTCCCCAGTTGGGGGAACGTATGGGGCAACCACACACTGATGTTTCTCTCCCTCTCTCCTTCCCTTCCCCTCTCTCTAAAGAGTAAATAAATAAAATCTTTTTTTTAAAAAAAGACTTCTTTGGGGCCCTGGCCAGGTAGCTCAGTTGGTCAGTGCCATCCCAATACGCCAAGATGTGGGTTTGATCCCTGGTCAGGGCTCATACAAGAATCAACCAATGAATGTATAAATAAGTAAGACAACAAATCGATGTTTCTCTCTTTCCGGAAAAAAAAAAAAAAAACCCGACTTCTTCGGTCCTAGATTGACATAGAATGTACTTAGTAACATCAAACATATCCAAAAGAACTGCCACATTTTCATAACTTCAGTGAGATACAATTCATACAACTCACCTGTTTAAAATGTATAATTCAATGGCTTTTAGTGTATTCACAGAGGTGTGCAAACCATCACCACAGTCAATTTTAGAATAATTTCATCAGTCTCAAAAGAAACCCCACATCCATGAGCAGTCACCCCCAATTCCCACATCACCCCTGGCCCCAGGGAAACACTAATCCACTTTCTATCTCTAAGCATTTGCCCCCTTGGATATTTCATATAAATGGAATTTTATGACATGTGGTCCTTGCAACTGGCTTCTTTCATCAGCACAATGTTTAAGAGAACCACCATTTCTAAGGAAACAGAAAAAAGATTGTTATGGAAAAAAAACCATTATTTTGATTTCTAAGGTTTATGTTCTTTTTATAGAAAACTGGCTTCCTATTTACATAATGAACACAAGTATTCCTCCCTTCTCGTTTCTAATACTCCATGATAATAATAGTACAGTAATAAAATACAGATGACAAACCCACAACAAAGAGAAAATATGTGCAAGGGCCATTGGAGGGGCAATTTTCAGAAATTGGAGAGTGGCCCTGGGTGGTGTGGCTCAGGGGACTGAGTGCCGGCCTGCAAGCTGAAGGGTCAGTGGTTCAACTCCTGGTCAGGGCACATGCCTGGTCTGCAGGGGCCAGGTCCCGGTTGGGACCATGCGAGAGGCTACTGATCAATGTATCCCTCATACATTGATGTTTCTCTCCCTCTCCTTCTCCCTCCCTTCCTCTCTTTAATAAAAAAATTAAATGGAGAGTGGACAGAAGCAAGAGGACATACAACCTTGAAGTCCCGAGGAAGGGCTACAGCGGAGGAGGGAGCAGAATGTCCCAGCAGCCCAGAGATGGCGGGCACTGTGGAGGATGGACAGGGCAACCAGGGATCAAGACAGGGTTATAAACGCAAGTCCTGTGCATGGACCAGCTGGCCTTCTCCGCCCCCCACAGCATCCCAGTGCAAAACTACCTATGGCCAGGTGTCCCTCCAGGCAAAAATTTTAAAAGTGGATGGGGTATTTCTAGAGAAATGCCATGAATTTTGTGCTGAGAACCAAGATAACTGGTGTGTGTACACATACATGTAAGTGCATGAGAGTAAAGCGTTCCTCATTCGGGCACTGAGGGTAGGCACCCCCCATATTAAAGTCACTGTCCATTCAGCTCACCCTGAGGTAAAATCTTCCTGCCAGCAAGCCCCATCTATGCACAAAAATTCCTATTGGCATTTCAATTACTTTCTTCTTAAACATGATGTACAACTAAGGATCACTATTTATTTGAGGAAAGCCTGCAATATAAGACAAGATCAAGATAAGCAAGAAGGAAAAAAAATGACCCTACTGGAACTAGAAGTTTAAAACAAAACTAAACCTGTAATTAAGTATCACTAAATAAATTAAAGAAGCTACTACACTAAAAGAAAAAAAAGAGCTCTAAGAACATTCAGAGAAAAAAAGAGGTCTTGGAAATGACTGAGTAAAAAAATCAAAAGGAATAAGATAAAGTAATCAAGAAAATATAAGGGACATATAAGGTCAGTTTAAATACCTTGATCACTGGGGGAGGCTGGGATGGGAAAAATAGACAAAAAACTGTACTTGAAAAATAACTAAATAAAATTTTTAAAAATTTAAATAAATAAATAAATAAATACCTTGATCACTAATATGAGATCACTAATGAGGAGGGTAAATTTTCAAAGAAATACAGGATAGACATCTTCCTATAGCTGAAGGCTGCAAGCCACCAAAATGCCCAACCAGGAAACAAACTATATATAGTCACAGCATCATAGAAATTCAGAGCACTGGAGATTAAGAGAAGATCCTCAAAGCTTCCAGGAAAAAAAAAATGAATCACCTCAAAAGGATCAAACTGCCAGACTGGCTGGTGACTCTCACATCTGCAACTCTGGATGCTAGAACACATGCCCTTCAAAGTCTTGATGGAAACAAACTATACGCCCAACCAAACTATCACATGGTATGAGGATAGAGAGTAATTTTAGGAAGGTTTACCTCCAACATAGGCTTTTTTGGGAGTGACTTAAGCATGTAGTTGGACAGCACGGCAGAGCAAAACAAGGACATGATGACATGGAACTGGAAAAGGGGGCCGAATCCAAGGAAGAGTGAGGCGGTGTCCCAAGACAGCAGCTGTGTGGAGTCTCAGTCCAGACCTGAGGGGACGTGCAGCCCCGGGAAGGGGGAATTGAGCAGGACGGGAATCAGGGGGAAACCTCAGAGTGCGGTTGAGAAAACAGGTCGGTGGAGGGTAAAACAGGAAAATACACTTGAAATGGACTTGGCATGAGAAACAGTCTCCACTGAGAGACAAAGTTTGTACGTGGGATACGTACAGATGCTGGTGCAATGTAGGTTACTAACACTTACACAGAATAATGTGTAAGTGCTGCTTATTTTAACTTTAAACAGACAAATCCCCAAAGATGGAATGGGTATTGCAGAAGAGAATACAAATATTATCAATGTAGACTCCTAATATATTAATGTTTCTTTCCCTGTCCCATCGTCTTGATTTAAAGGACATAATCACTCCAAAGGAGAAAAGCCTCTTGTTCCCCTGGGACCCTACCTGTATACTTGAAGCTTTAAGCACCTGGGAAGCTCACACAGGTGAGGACCAAGTGAAGGGCAGCAAACCTGCCAACCTGCCACTTTCCATTCCTCTAGGGAAAGCCGATAAGCAGCAGCTCTTGGGCCTTCAGCTCCTACTGGTTCATACAATGAGCTGGGAACCCCAGAATGTTAGGAAGGAAGTGCAACCTCTACCTCCGCCATCTCCATGCTCATACCCCCCAAGAAGCCAGGAGTCTGAGCTGTAGCTGTCAGCATTGCCAGAGGGGAACCCCTGGCTGCCAGTGCTGGGGGGAGCACCAAAAGGCAACGATAGTAAGTGACAACCACCTGCCCCCACAAGTGGCCTGGTTGGGCCCATTTCCTCTGACTGATCATCCACTCACCTCTCTTCCCAGAGAGATGCCATTTGTCACTCATCCCCATCAACTGAGGCAGACTACCTTAGCAGATATATTCCAGAAACCCTGTCATATGGCCTAACAAACCTTCTTCTGGGTATATACCCCAAGGAAATGAAATCTATCTCAAAGAGTTATCTGCATTCCCAGTTCATTGCAGCATTATTCACAACAGCCAAGGCATGGAAACAACCTAAGTGTCTGACAATGGATGAATTGATAAAGAAATTGTGGTGTCTATATAAAATGGAATGTTATTCAGCCTTAAAAAAAGGCTACCCTGCCATTTGCAACAACACGGATGAACCTGGAGGGCACTGTGCTAAGTGAAATAATCCAGACACAGAAAGAAAAAAACCCTGCATGATCTCACCAACGTGAAGGATCTTTAAAAATCAAACACATAGAAAATCAAATACAGAGAGATGCAAATTAAAACCACAATGAGATACCACTTTACATCGGTCAGGATGGCGATCATAAACAAAGCAACAAACAACAAATGTTGGAGAAGTTGTGGGGAAAAGGAGTCCCTAGTTCACTGTTGGTGGGATTGCAGACTGGTTGAACCATTATGGAAAACAGTATGGTTTCTCAGAAAAATAAAAATCAACCTACCATTTGACCCAGCAATTCCACTGCTAGGATTATATCTTAAGAATCCTAAAACATCAATTTCAAAGAACCTATGCACCACAATGTTCATAGCAGCACAATTTACAATAGCCAAGAGCAGGAAGCAACCTAGGTACCCGTCAGTAAATGAATGGATCAAAAAAGTGTGGTACTTATACACAATGGAATTCTATGCAGCAGAGAGAAAGAAGGAGCTACTACCCTTTGCAACAACATGGATGGAACTGGAAAGCATTATGCTGAGTGAAATAGGCCAGGTGTTGAAAGACAAATACCCTATGATCTCACCTTTAACAGGAAGCTAAACAACAAAACAAACAAGCAAGCAGAATAAAAACAAAGACACTGAAATAGAGAACAAGTGGACAGCGACCAGAGGAGAGAGGGAAGGGAATTTAGGGGGGAAAAAGGGGAGGGATTTGGAGGAACAAATAGGAAGGACACAGGGACGAGAACTAAGGGGGGTGGAAATGGGAGGGAGGTAGGGAGCACAGGGCGAGGGGGGCTGGGATGGGAGAAATAGACAAAAAACTGTACTTGAAAAATAACTAAATAAAATAAATAGATAGATAGATAGATAGATAGATAAATAAATAAATAAATAAATAAATAAATAAATAAGAAAATCAAATACATAAGAGTATTAGGGTGGTTACCAGGGGCAGAGAGGTGGGAAAATGGGCAGATGTTACATAGGACGAATGCATCCAGAGATCTAATGTGTAGTAGGGCGCATACAGTTCATAATATTGAATCCTGGAAATTTACTAAGAGAAGAGATTTCCCGTGCTCTCAGCACACACACACATACGCAAAGGTAATTATGGGAGAAGATATGTCAATTAGTACCCAAGAGTCCAATACCTTGGCCTTGGGATTCTCCTACATTCCAAACGCTATCTAAATAAGAGTGGAATGCTTTTCTGGACAGCTTTACAGAAAAGAGGAGAGTCTGTTCAACTATTTCACAAGTTGATTAGTAAAAATAAACTCTAAATTTAATTCTTACATAGATGGGAGGAGGTCACAAAAACTCCTATGAGAGTTCATTCCACAGGCTGCAGGAGTGGCACCAGTACACACGTCTCTACCGATTCTGACATAACAGTTAAGGCGTGTATTAGCGAAGGTTTTAAAACTGCAAGGCTGGATGCCAGACTAGTCTCCACAGTTCTCTTTTATGGGGGTCTGATTACAGGGTTCATAAACTTTCTATTTTGGGAATTTTTTAAAGTCTGAATTTCACAATCAGTGAAACTTCAAGTAGTTCATAACAAATTCACTCATTATAATGAAGGATTTTACCATCCTTTGTTTCCTATAAATGTTTTATGATCCAGCAGTGCAGTGTTGGAATATTTTTAAGTTGGCTTGTTAGCTTTCAACTGTTTTATTTATTTTTCTTTTTTTAATATATTTTATTGGTTATGCCATTACAGTTGTTGTATTCCCTCCTTCATTCCCCTCCACCCTACCCCCCATCCCCACCATTCCCCCCTTTAGTTTATGCCCACGTGTCTCAAGTTCTTTAGATTCTACATTTCCCCTCCTATTCTTACCCTCCCCTCTATTTTCTATCTACTGTCTATGCCACTTATTCTCTGTACCTTCTCCCCCCTTCTCCTCCTCCCACTCCCCTGTTGCTAACCCTCCATGTGATCTTCATTTCTATGGTTCTGCTCCTGATCTAGCTGTCCTCTTAGTTTGCTTTTGTTTTAGGTATGGTTGTTAATAACTGTGAGTTTGCTGTTGTTTTAAAAAAATTTTGTATCCTCAATGACTGAAGCTATGACACATCAAAAGATCAATACAATCTCTATAAAATCACTGTTCTAGCTACTGTGATTAAGAGCCTGATCTTAACAGTGAAACATTTGAAAACAGTGTCTCATGTAATGACAGATTTTCGTTAACAAAGGTTCACTCTTTCTGTACCAAAGAGCAACAGTAATTTGATCAAGTAAATGTTCGTATAAAGAATAACTAATTATCTTTTTTCAACCAAGAGTATATAATTTCTTTCATTTTATTTTTTTAACAATTTCTATATATGCTTGAAATTAAGTATACTGGAGAAAAAACACCATATCAATGGGTCCAACTCATTATTCTAAAAACTGGTAAATGAAAACAAAGAACCAAATATATTAGCTTCTCTCTCCCTTATGAACTGGCTTTAAAAAAATTGTACCTACCTCTAGCAAAAAGGAGTCCAACAATGCCAGCAAACCCAATAACACCAAGTCTTGGAAAAAATCCAGGAGGTGCATTTTGGAGATATTCATAGCTGTCTACAATAGAATCAGACAAGGAAACAGTTTCATAAAGTGCTCATTAAAGAAACCAAACAAATCTTAAAGTCTATCTAGTATTGTAGTATCAAATGCTTTTCAAATAATGTATTCTTGGCTTTTGGCTGACATGCTTCTTTTCAACACATTCTTTGTACGTGATAAACATGATTTACTATTCACACAGCAAGTATCCAATTTCTAAACACTTTTGGTCTGACATCCTACTGACAGTACAGTAATGTCAGATTACCTTCATATTCCTAAAGGCTACAGATGTGAATCAACTATTCACGCAGGAAGAAATACAAATACAGGGATCCCTTGCAATCCAAACTCCTGTTATCCCAACACAGAAACACAGAACACAGGCAGACCTTCGAGATAGTGAGGGTTTGGTTCCAGACCACCACAATAAAGCAAGTCACATGAATTTTTTGGTTTCCCAGTGCATACAGAAGTTATGTTTCTACTGCGGTGCAGTCAATTAAGTGTGCCTTATGTCTAAAAGAGCAATGTATATATCTTAGGTAAAATGTATTTTACTGCTAAAAAATGCTAACTACCATCTGACCCTGTTGGAAAATTTGGTGCAGACAGACCTGCTCAGTGCAGGGTACAACTTGTTTTTAAAAAAAATCAATAAAGCAAAGCACAAAAAAACGAGGTGTGCCTGAATATTTGGATAAATCTATCACTTTCAGAAGCTTTGCTGCCTGTTCTCAGCAACCAAGTACATTAAACTCAAGATAAAAAATATCTGTTGTCATCTAAACTCATTCGAACTCAAGAACAGAACAAATTTGGATAATGAAGGTACCTTGTAACACAAGTGTATGTGGGAAAATAAGCACCGTTGGTAATGGTAAAATAAATAAAAATAAAAGCAACACGTGAGCCTCTGTGCCACCCTGAACATGCCTTATACCTCGTTCGCATGATCCCACATCTCCTCTCCTCTCCACTGAGCCAATCCCCCCAAATAACAGCCAGTTTACGTCCTAATTCCTCAGAAAAGCTTTTCCTATGCTCATCAGCCCATAGGTCTCTTCCTCCTCTTCAGTCCCATCATATTTATTCTCTGCACCATAATTTGGTATCTACTCCTATAGCACCTTGTTTAATTAAGCAGAGGTGTGTTTTAGGTCTCCACAAGGAGAATATACACTCCTTAATGGTGCACTGCCCAGATCTCTATGCTACTTTCCTCAGTGGTAACAGTGGATGTTCATTCAACAGGTCATCTATTAAAAGTACTGCTAGAAGCTGATGAATACCGAGTGAATTAACAAATGGCTTTTAGCTGGGTCATGACTTAAAAAGCCTCACATCTCTTCCTCAACCTCATCTTCAACAGTCTGCTTCCGGTTCCCGGCACGTGCAACACTGAGTTGTACATCCAAGCCCTGGTGGTACCGTGCCCTCTGTGTAGCTGCCTTTGTTTTTTCAATATTTATACCAGAACTCCCTCCCCGTTTCCATCTTCCCAGTCTCTATTAAACTAGCCTCCTCCCTCTGTGCCTTTGAGAGCGGTCTGGGATTGTCTCTGTGTTTGTGCTAATATTGAATAATTTATTATGCACAGCAGTGGCTGGGACCACTGTCATAATCAGCCTCGATCCTCAATGCTTGCCATTGTGATGACTTATATGGAACTGAAGAAATTGGAATACTCAGTAATTCTCTCTCCCAGATAATAGCAGACATGTCAGTTTTCATTTTCCTGGGGTCTTTGAGAAATGTGGTGACCATTTTAAATACTACTATAGGGCTTGTGTTGTTGGTACTAATTCCTGACTGGCCTTTCACTTACTTTGCCTTTAACCTTAATTTTCTATATTCTGCCCTGGCTGGTGTGACTCAGTGGACTGAGTGCCAGTCTGTGAACCAAAGGGTCACCAACGTGATTCCCAGTCAAGGCACATGCCTGGGTTGCAGGCCAGGTCCCCAGTTGAGGGCATATGAGAGGCAACAGCTATCTCTCACATATACATGTTTCTCTCCCTTTCTCCCCCCTTCCCCTCTCTCTAAAAATAAAAATAAATTCTTTAAAAAAAATTTAAAGATGTTAGTTATTAACATACATGAATAATTTAAAGAACCAGTAGGCTATTACTATTATCTGTCTTCAAATGGAAAATTTCTTTATCTGGTAATTTCAGGGCTATCAGCTCATTAATACTCCATGATATTCTTTGCAGAGAAATAAACTATACTTGTTTTATTTTCTTCCGTCATGGAAGCAAACACTTGCAAAAACAAGAGTTTAATTTGTCAAGATGCCCAATGAGGGGAATGAAATATGTTACCACTTCCTGGCTGAGATTAGTCAACACATACACTGTGAATGAGTCTATGTGATAAGTGATTATGAAAAATAATCAAGGACAATAGAAACCAATGAAGGCAGCTTTCTTGAGTAAGCCGGCGCCTTCCCCCGCCCCCTTCTTTCCCCAGGGCAGTATCACAGTATGAGTGTCTGCCATTGTCTTTCTGTCTGTCCGTCCTCCCCCCCCTTCCACACACACCTTTCTGCTCCTCCCCCCCCCCCCAGTGCTTTCTCTCTGCCTTTCTTTTCCCTAAACTCCAAGGGCCCTTCTTTTGCTTCTGGAACTCCTTTCCTGAGCCCACAGAGCCCAGCTGGCTCACCTTTTACCTCAGGTGGCTACCAGCCACCACAGGTAGCTGGCTCACCTTTGCTACCTGTGACTTAAAAATAGACTTTCTCTTATAAATTGAAAAAGAAAAAATAAGAACCAATGAAAAATGTAAACCACCACTAAGTGTGCAATAAGGCCTTTCCTAGGCACACCAACCCAGTTCCTTCCTGCCTTTAAACTTCTATAAAATGTATTAAGAGCTATGCATAAGGGCTCTCCTGATTCGGAAAAACTATTGATGAGTTAGTGTAGGTTAGTGTGAGTTAGGGGCATTGCACCTAGAATAAATTGAAAGGAAAAAGTACAGGAAATCTGTACTTGCTAGCCCAACGATCCTAATGATGTTGAAGAGACTTACCTGAGTGTTTGGGGGTACTAATCCTCTGACACCTGATGAAAGTAACAGATCACCTTTCCAGAAAAAAATCTGCATAGCTCTAAAATTCTGCATACAATTTTAAGGGATTCACAGCTCTCCTTGAAACCCAAACATGGAACCCAGTTAAAGAGTCCAATGTAAATGAAGAAACTGATTTTACATCATTAAAAATCAACTTACCTAACCCCCACTGAACCAAACTTTGCATCTTGGGCTCAGTTTGGGAGTACACTTCCTAAAAAGGTGAACAGAAAATGAATGAGTAGGATTTGCTGATTAGAAAGTAACAATAAATATATTTGTCTTTACTTAATCAATTATCATGTTATTAACACTTTTTGAACAAAGATATACTGTCCATCTGGACTTTTTGAGTTCTTTATTATCTTTTGTAATTTCCCCTTCACCACAAATTGCTCAGCAGAATGGCTTATGACTGCCACAGGAAGCAAAGATTTCAAGTGGAGTGGTTTCAACAGCCCAGTCTCTTCATTTGCTATTAACATACAAGAAAATGGACAAAAATCAGTCCTTTGATAATTAAAGCAGCAATCCTTTCCCTGTGCGATTAAATCTGTCTTTCGTGTTAAGTCTAATTCCTGATTTGTCATGACTTTAGAGCCTATATCTAAAAAACTGCCCATTTGAAGCAGGAATGACTAGCTTTAACGGGACAATGAAGTCTGTATCTAACTTTGGGAAGACACTTATCCTAGTCCTAAAGCAAGTGAAGTATTAACATTCTCTTAAGAACAACAATAATAAAAAGGCTTTGCACATGAATGTCAGATGATCCTACAGAAAACAAGGAACTAGCTAGAAGCTATGCACCTTCAAGAAGTCTACAGTGACGATAGGAAAAGCGATGTGCGGGTATCACAAAGCATCAGAACGAACCAGTTGCCACTTGGAAAAGGATTTTTAAATATAATTTAGCTCAAGTCAAAACAAATGAACCTAATACTGTTAAATGAGCGTAAATAATAAATGCTAAATTTGGAGGACATAAAAACATAAAATAACTACCCCGACTGGTGTGGCTCAGTGGATTGAGTGCTGGTGTGAGAACCAAAGGGTCACTGGTTCAATTCCCAGTCAGGGCACATGCCTGGGTTGCGGGCCAGGTCCCCAGTGGGGGGTGCATGGGAGGCAACCACACACTGATGTTTCTCTACCTCTCTTTCTCCCTCCCTTTCCCTCTCTCCAAAAATAAATAAACTCTTTTAAAAAACATAAAATAACTGAATATCACTTCATTAGAATTCATTATTGATTTTTGCTGCCCATTAAAAAAAAGAGCCCTGGCTGGTGTGGCTCAATGGACTGAGTGCTGGCCTGTGAACCCAAGGTCCCCAGTTCAATTCCCAGTCAGGGCACATGCCTGGGTTGTGGACCGAGTCCCCAGTGGGGGGTGCACAAGAGGCAACCCACACATTGAGGTTTCTCTCCCTCTCTTTCTCCCTCTGTTCCCTTCTCTAAAATAAATAAATAAATAAATAAATTCTTTTTTAAAAAAAGAAAGAAAAGCTATGGATCAATGTCTAGAGTGACTGCCTACTTCTTTTTGCTGCATAATCTTTTTACTATAAAGAAAAGTTAGTTCTTTTAAGAACTAACTTTAGTTCTTTTAAGAACTATTAAGTTAAAGAACTATTTAGTTCTTTTAAGAACTATTAAGTTAGTTCTTGAAGAAATGGAATAGAAACTGTTGGCCTGAAAAATGAGCTGAGAATTAAAAATAGTTCTATTTATGCAGACTTTATTCTATAGGAAAATGAAACCATTATAATCACACAAAGAAAGTATTTAGAAGTACTGCAAATAAACATGTTGATCACCGCTCTAAGTGCAAATAAATGGTTGATAACTACTCTATCACCTGGAGAGGTATTTGGCTGCACTGAGGACTGTGCACAGATGAAAAAGCAAAAAAACAAAAAGCAACCTAGGTTGAAAGCTAAAGAGACAAAATACTTTCAAAACCAGAGAGAGAGAAATAACAGTAGTCATGCCTACATGATACAAAAATATTTGCCAATCTTATCTTTTTTTCTAAGATTTCATTTATTTATTTTTAGAGAGAGGGGAAGGGAAGGAGAAAGAGGGAGAAAAACATAATTGTGTGGCTGCCTCTAACATGGCCCCTACCAGGGACCTGGCCCACAACCCAGGCATGTGCCCTGAGCAGGAATCAAACCAGTGTCACGTTAGTTTGCAGGCCTGCACTCAATCCACTGAGCAACACCAACCAGGCACGCTGACCCTATCTAACCACTAAGCATATGGTTTAAAAGTTTTCTAGAATAGCCATGTATGGTGTGGCTCAGTGGACTGAGTGCCAGCCTGTGAAGTGAAAGGTTACTGGTTTGATACCCAGTCAGGGCACATGCCTGGGTTGTGGGCCAGGTCCCCGTTTGGGGATATCTGAGGGGCCATTAATAGATGTTTCTCTCCCTTTCTACCTTCCTTCTCCTCTCTCTAGAAATAAATAACATCTTTTTTAAAAAGTGTTCTAGAACAAGAGGGTAAAGTCTAAGTGTTTTACAACACAATATAGTCTTTAGGTATTTCATAACTCAATAATATGGTTATAATATTTATGTATAATGGCATAATTTATATTGTTGAAAGAGTCTATGCTTACTATTTTCTTTCTAAATTGGTTCAGCAGTGACATAAAGTAAAAATCTTTAAATAAGTTCTGGATGAAAATTGAGTTTGTAGGTCTCAAGCAAAGTAAATGTAGACCATGTCACACACACATCTACATGCTTTTTACTAATTTTCATCAATTTTCAAAACCAAGACCAAGTACAGCAAATACATGTATCATAGCTCACGGAAGCATTCTGTAGATTGTACACTGCAGTTTTAGATGTTAAAAATGACAGAATGCCTTCCTGAAACACAAAGCCTGATCTAAAACCTGAGCGGTGACAGAAGCCAATCTGTATAAGTAGCTCTTGGATTACTGGGGCAAACAGTTCAGTACTCAAATATGTAATTCCACCTTTTTTTTTTAGTTATTTACCCTCCTATTATAGCATTCAAAATGCTTGGTAACAATTACTATCTAAAGTGGTACTGGTTTGTAGAATCTCTGGCGGGTGGAGATGGGGACAGGGGACTTCCCAATTTTGACATAAATGGTTACATTGTGTCCTTTTCCTTCCTCTAGACAATAGTGTTTTCATAGCTGTGACCAACAAGATACTTACCAGCCTTCCACTCCCTGGTCCCAGTGCTAGACCTACCCAGTGGGAGGGAAAATTCTCTGTGCAGCTATGGCAACAGGAACCACCAGGTAGCCAGGGCTCTCTGCTCAACCCCCCACCCCTCATATGGCACTGATGAATGTTTATAAGTTGGGCACTGTTAGGTTGCTGGGGCCTTTTATCATGCCTTTTTCTGAAAACATACAGCTGATACAGACTTCTCGCTAAGGACTCTAAACAGGAATGCGTTCCCTCCATTTCCAGACGAGCTGTACCTGACACCGACTGGTATATGGCTCACAATACTGTCGGAGGTGTGAGATGCTCTCTTCAAGTTGAGTCCTTGGCTCCTCCACATATTTAGATTGACCCTCGGGAACGGAGTAGAGTGAGAGCTGCATACATTAAAAAACAAAACAAAAAAATTAAAATGTCTACACAGCAATGAGATAACGTAATCAATGATCAAATTTGTAAGCATTGTAACACAAGTGAACTGCAATTCTCATAATTCATGAACTGCAGACACTCTAAGGGCAGTGTGCATCCTAAACCTTCCTTCAGAGGATCTCTGCACCTTACTTACCACCTTTTTCTAAAAAAGATCTCCAACTTCCTTTTTTAAAAGTTTGTCTGTTTATTTTCAGAGAGATGGGAAGAGAGAGAGAAAGAGAGGGAGAGAGACATCGATCCGTTGCCCCTCACACACCACAAACCGTGTCCTGACTAGGAATCAAACCAGTGACCTTTTGCTTTTCAGGACAACACCCAACCCACTGAGTCACACCGGCCAGGGCACCTTACTTATTACCTTAATCAATAAGGCCAAGGCCAAGAGGGCAAGGCTATGAGGTGTTCTACCATCCACCTACCACCCTACTGGTAGCAGACAAAGCAGCTCCCCTTTATTTGTTTTATATACTAAAATTTGTTATTTCCCCTTCGATTTCACTTAGAAAAGGGATAATATTACTGTAAAGGGTGTGTTGGATTGGGGTTTTGAAAAAAGCTTGAGCCCTGGCTGGTGTGGCTCAGTGGGTTGAGAGTCAACCTGCAAACTGAAAGGTCACCAGTTTGATTCCTAGTCAGGGCATATGCCTGGGTTGAGGGCCAGGTCCCCAGTCGGGGATGTGTGAGAGGCAGTCATTGGATGTTTCTTTCTCACATCAATGTCTCTCTCCCTCTCGTCCTCCATCCCTTTCTCTCTCTAAAAAATAAATAAACATATATTTTTTAAAAAGCTTGAGAGTAACTGAAGAGCATGTCATGTATTTCAAATGATCAGCCTGGTGCTAACCAAAGTAGGATAGCAGGTTCATTCCCCATCCAGAGAAGAAACCTTTCACAGCCACTAGTGGCTGCCTTCTTCACCCTCAAAAATGCCACTGCCCCAAGGCCTGAGAAGAAGAGAGTAAAGGGCAAAAGATAAAGCTAACTAGTTTTATGTAAACACAGTCAAGTAACCTTGCTGGTGACTGAAGGTAGACCTTTAGGTCACTTGACTCAGTCTGAACAGAAACCAAATATCCAAAATAATCCACCGCAAGTGTAGACAAAAAGACTATAAACAATGGAAAGAAGATTTCTTGTTTTGTTTCTTTAGTATTCGTTAACCATCTACTTGTAAGCCTCTAATCCGGCCAAGAAGCAGAATGAGGCCAGGTTTTAATTTCTTGGGAAAAATATACATGTTTTCTTGGCTTAAAGCAGTCTAGAGTCAGGCAGATCACTCAGAATCAAACTGTGCTTACATTCTACTGCAACACAGTGGATTCCTCACTAAAAATCTCAGAAATATTATATGTACCATTAACTAAAGTGTATCTGTTGAAAAAGCCACTCTAGTAGCTTCCCACGAAGAAAAATAAACCATAAGGAAATATATTTCCTATTATATCCTCTAAAAATGTCACATCTTCCTGATACACAATCTGTATCCTTCCTATAGTAAGTAAATCAGATGTTCAAAACTATTTCACAACATGAACAGCATGTTACCTCATTAACCTTCACGGAAGTTTTGTGCGGTGAGTCCTTTTTCTGTGATGCATAGACTTTGAAGGTGAGCAGACTCAGGCTGGCTGGCCCCACGGACCTCTGAATTACCTGCAACACAGAAGCAATCTTAAGCCTTCTCTCAATGCTACAAAACGAATGTGCACAACATGAGCATCTTCCTAACCTCAGCCACTCCTGCTCTGAAAGGGTGACTGTGCTTTTTGAGAAGTAAATGTACTCCTGACATTTCATGGAAGTCAGAACCTAAAAGACATGTTCTCGGGGACTTAATATTTCAGGTCACCTGGATCTTAATTTCCCAAAGACAACAGTTTCTAAGTTTCTCTACTTAGCCTTTCAGGTAAAATAAATGATATATACATACGAACATGCACCAACAACAAGGGAAGTTTTTAATAATCTCACTTAGTAATTCATGGAACAGATGCAGATTATTTCTGTAATTCTACCAATTAAACTTTCAGAAGCTCCCTCTTTCCATGCCCATCCAGAGCTGGTCTCCCTTGGTCTCAGTTCCCGAACTCAATCTCTGTCTGTGCCTTGCTCTCCCTGACTGGGAGTCGCTCACAGCCAGTCACTTACAGATACAAAGCTCTAGCCCAGAGCTCTCTCCTGAGCTACCAACTCACTCACCCTACCACTGCTGGACATGTCCACGTGGATGGGACACAAGCTCCCCAGATCGAGCATGTCCGAAACCAACTCATCAGCATCGTGTCTGTGCCCCCAAGCCCACACTCGGCCCGATGGGTGGATGTAAGCTGTGGAATCAAGTCAGAAAGCTTTTTCTCAATAACCCCTACATTTACACAGCTCTTGACCATCTAGCATCTTTTCCCCAGCCCCGTCCCTCTTCTTCTACTTTCTAACCCACCTAGACAACCCAATCAGAAACTCTGAGGTCATCCTTCACCCCCCCCGCCCGTTCCACTGGACATTAAATCCTCTTAATTCTGCTTATTAAATGATGGCAATTCACGCTTCCTTGAGATGCCCTCCTGTACAGTTTTCCCTTTGGCCCTCATTTCTTTCCTGGATTATCTTAGCAGCATTCTACCTGCTTACCTGGCCTCTGATGACCACACTGTGAAGGAATGATCTTCGTAAACAACCAAACCTGATTATCTTCTATCCTCATTTGAGATCTTTTGTAACTCTTTACCTAGGACTTTTATGGGGGTCTAACAAGGCCTGTGAACATCTCACCCCAACCACCTCCTCTAACCTCATCTCTGTCATTCTGCCTTCTCCCACAAAACTTGAACTCCCTGTGCTTCTCCCGTGCTGCTTTCCAGCTTCAGGGGTTCACACACGCTGATTCCTCTGCCTAGGACGTTTTATGCTTGCTTTGTCCTTCTGTACAACTGCCTAAGAGCAGAGAGATTCATTGCTTTGCTTTTCTTATGTGTCTATTTATGTCTGTCAAGTTCTCCCTGCCAGATTGGAAGCCCTTTCAGGATAGGGCCATGTCTTACTTTGTATTCCTAGTGCCCAGGACTGCCCAGCATATAAGAAATGCCCAATAACTGTTTACTGCCCGCCTACATGGACAGAGGGAGGTGAGAAAGAAATTACTGGCTTATTCTAAGTACCTAGGCATGATTTAGCATCACAGAAATCATGTTGCTGAGATTTGCAGGGCCTGCAATGTATAAGACTGGGCTACACTGTAATATTCACAAAACACACATAAAACAGAACAAAAGTGTCCATTAAAATGTATGGTATGCCTGGAGTCACACACAAAAAAGAAAATTCCCATATTTCAGAAGCAACCAAAGAGCTAGAAGTTATTTTTAAGAAGTAGTTATTACTTTAACTGCTTTAAAAATAATTAACACACCCTGCAAGTATTACATGTTCATCTTGAAAGGCTGTAATTTCGAAGAAATATTGCCAGAAGTTTCTTTTGCTTCCAGGGTAAAGGTCAGCCAGCTACTGCTGACACAGTCAGTGTAGTCCCTCCCTGCACCGCAGGAGCGGGCCTGTTAGGCTGCCGGTATCTGGAGATGTCAGCCCGTGCTCTCTGCCCTCTAGGTCTGCCCACCACCAACTAATAATACTGCTTGAACTGGGGACTTTCTACTGAGCCTGCCGGCCCCACCCTGGACTTTGTTCCCGATTCTCTTCCTCATGGGCAATAGCTGGTGCCGGCCCTTTTCTCACTCCTCACCCAGCACTCTAAGTGCCTCTAAGCACTCTAAGGAGCCTCTAAGCCCTTCAGGTTCTTATTGTCCCCTATGTTCACCCTCGTTTGATATGACACCTTATGTTCACCTTATTAAGTCTCTGCTTTCAATTATTATTCCTACCTATTTTCCACATATTTCATTTTTCATCTCATGGCCCTCTACTGTTTTAACTCAGATCTCTACTTTTTACACTTTTAATGATTATTCTCCTGTTCATCTTTTCTTTTCAATCTCAGCTTGTTTACTTTTACAATTTAACATTTTACTGGATTCCTGATTATTCATCTCTATTTTATTTTCCACTCTTTTCCATTTTTTCTCCTTTTAACATTACGCTAAGCCTGCCCCTTTGTTGCCCAAGTTGCTTTCCTCTTCTTCCATTGCTCCCAAGAGCCTACCACACCAGCCGCCCTCACTCCCGCTCCACAGCAAGAATTCGGCCGCAGGCCTGTGGCACCCAACGAAGCTCTCTCCTTGGGTTGCCCTTTCATCTCCCTGCGGGCTCTCAACAAATAAACAAAACGAAGAGTAAAACGAACATCATCCCAGGAGATTTGGGAGATCCACAGACAACACTCCCCAGGGCGAAGAGCACAGGATTTACTTCAGGGTTTCTCCATCTTAGCGCTGTTGACATTTGAGGCTGGATCATTCTTCGTTGTCAGGAGGCTTCTTGGCAGCACCCCTGGCCTGCACCCACTAGATGCCAGGAGTACCCCCTCCCTGTCACGAATCAAAAACGTGTCCAGACCCCGCCAAAAGTCTCCCAAGGGGTGTTCGCCAACCCCCACTTAGAAGCACTGATTTACTTCAATTAACATTATTTGCTGACATCTCTCACCATCAAACTGAACAGCCTCAAACCTCATACACAGTAATAGAAATCAGAACACTCTATGCTTGGGAATTAAGTGTGGAAGGGGAGGTAGACTTACTGAGAAGGGGGTGACAGAAATGCTCTATATTTTGATTGACGTGTGGGTTACAGATGGTATGAAGGACAGGTAGCATTGAATGTGTGAGGAAAACCACAGGAGGAGCCTGGGTAAAAGGTCCACAGGCAGACAAGCCTGATGCTGATGTACTTCCCAACATCCCGGCTGGTTCGCTCTCCTTTCTGGCATCAAAGGGGGCTCTTCGTGGGGACAAACTACCCCATTCTGCATTGGCCAGACCAGATATTATCATGAATGGGAACTGTGGACACTGGACCCCTGCCAGGTGGCTATCACAGTTTGTTAGAGTTCATATTGAGTCCTCAGGCTAACCCATTTGATATCAGAATTTAAAAAGAAAAAGGCCATTAAAATGTGCCGAGATCACCCCCAGATATATATGTATGAGGGCAAAAAAAGCACTTTCTTCAATCTTTTGTCTCCCCAAGGAAGTAAAAGAACATTAATCTAAAAGTTAAATGTTCCGAAGAAAGATTTAACCAACTTCCATGGTGTGGATCATAATCACTGAAGCTCTGGGGTTATCACCTCTCTCCTGTGGGTACTCCTGTTGGGTTGTCATGTAAAACCCAAACAAAAAGCTGTTCTCTCCCCATGAGACCCATTCAGGCACAACCAGATTGAAGGTACCTCTTAGGAAGTGAGATCTCCCCTGGACTATTTTTGATGAAGGGCTGGAACCTCTACCATGCATATACCCAGGGCTTAATCACACTCTGTCCCAAGTCACAGTCCTTGAGAATCCTTGTTTGCCAGGCTCACCTCTCTACCCAGGGCAGATGGCTCAGCTCAGAAACCGTAGGTACAGATGTACCTTTCAAGGGCTCAGTAGACATGCTCAACTTTGGATCAGAGTTCAGCTTCCTAGATCAGTCAGGCCCACTATGTTAAGAGCTGCATCTTCAATGAGCACTGAGCTACGGCAACATACTAAACTAGACCCAAAGGCTGTGCTGCTTTATATCAAGCCTATCCTCTGGAGTGGACCCTTCAGTTATTAGATGCGACTCCCAGAATTCAGCTGGTTCGGGGGGGTCTCAAAGTAAAGACTCCAATGTGTTGGCTGGTCTGGGGGTTGGTTTTGAATATAGGTGTAAGAAACCCATAGTCACAGTGAAAACTACAATTTGGCTCAAACAAAAGTGAGCTGGGGACCTCATGGAAAGTGTCACTAAGTTCCCTGGCTCACGTAACTAAACTGTCTGATTCTACCCCCCAGCAAGGTATCTTATTCATACTCTCCCTATCAAGATATAGTCTCCATCTTAGACCTTTGAACTCTCTCTCTCTGTCTTTCAACATTTGTTTTACATAGTCCACAGGCGCCTTCACTGTCAGCGGAAACTGAGCACCAGGATCGGCAGTTGTCCTTGTTTGGCAATAAAAGTGCACTGCCCAGAATTCTGGTCTAGAACTCCAGGATCTCTTTCTCATTGTGTCCCAGTGAAACGGCTTTAAAGACAAAATCTGCAAGCTATTTAAATAAGCTACCCTCAAGGATATTTAATAATGATAGGTCTCAAAACCCTGAAAACTGGCTTTGTTTTTCAACTTTATGGAGAACCCAGTATATAGTCGTTCTCATCTCCAAAAAGAAGTACACATTGGTAGGTATAAAATAAGGATGTTAAGAACAGTACAGGAAGTGGAGAAGTCAAAGAACTCATATGCATAACCCATGGACATGAACTAAGGGGGGGACTGTTGGAGGGAATGGGGGTACTGGGAGGAGGGGGGAAAGGGAGAAAATTGGAACTGTAATAACATAATCAAGAAAATATACTTAAAAATAAAATAAAATTTAAAAAAATAGACTATGACTAGGCCATGGCTGGGTATCCAGTTGGTTAGAGCATCATCCAGAGATACCAAGGTTGCGGGTTGGATCCCCAGTCAGGGCACATACAAGAAGCAACCAATGAACGCATAAATAAGTGGA